ATGTTTACATAGAAGTTTGCTATGCGACGATAACGGTCGCGGAATAGCAGACACAGGTCGTAAATTCGTGATGTGATTCTATGACATCGTACATGACAACGTGACAGAAAGAAATATTTAAAAACGGTGTATTTCGGCAGCAAGAATTCTCTCAAACATCTTTCGTTAATAATATGGAATAGTTCTGTCTAACAATCTTTTTATCAAATCTTTCAAATTTCCGAATAAGTTGTTTTGTGTTGTCGATAAATTTACCAAAATTCATATTAACTTTTATTTTATATAATTTTTCCCGAGTACTTTCGAATGCTACTAAATTCGTTTTCAAGGATTGTTGTGTGTAGTTAGGCAACTGGTTTTTATTTCGACTCCACCAACTGCAGCAAGATCAACAAGAAATAAGATTACAATGACATTTTTCTCGTTTTCATCCCGTCTTATCCCAATATTTTTTTTCAGACAGACAATAATTGCTCATTAGACTCCAGACCTGTAAACACACACACACACTAAAAAGAAAAAACACGCAAGATCTACCTGACCAATGAAAAACAAACGCTTCCTCTTCTATAACTTATAATTTCCAAAAATATATATTATAAAATTTAAATAAAATCAAAACATTGTAAAATTATAAACACTTGCTAGTGTTTTATTTTTTCATTCTGTAGGATTTTAATCCATATTTGATTCTGATTCATTTATAAAGAAGGGTTCCAATAACTTGGACAGATTTTAAATATGAATTAAGTTTAAGCGTCTAATGATTTTTTTTCTTTCAGATTTAGAGGATATTTGGGCGATATTATTTTTCACACATAATTGGCATGACTTAAACGACAGGATGCAATAGAGAAATAAATAAATTTCCACCAATAACATTGATTTATTTACTGCTGACTTTGATCCATCTTAATGCAACAAACTTATATATAATCTGTCCTAAGGAAACACCCTTTTTACACACACACACACACGCACACACACACAGATATATAATTATTTATTTAAAAATATGATTCCAACGCTACATAAGAGTTCTCATGTTTCAAAAAAGTAACCGAAAACTTCAATATAATTATTTGAATTAAATTGAATTAAAGTACCAATCTCTGGTCCATCTTCAAGCGAAATTTTTTTGGGGAATAGTTATTTATTCGTACAATAGTATAAAATGTGGCACAAGGTCAAAAAAAGAGTTGGGGAAGAACGGTCTTCTTCTGTTTTAATTCTAAACTTAGCTAGTCACAAACACGGACCCAAACATATCAACAATAGTCCTATCGCAAAAACAACACATTCACTCCTACCTTTCTTACTACGTCCACCATAATACCTCAAATTCTCTATGAAATCCTAACTAGTCCCCATATGTTTCAAAGTGTGTGTGTGTGTGGGGGGGCAACAATTTAAAAAAAACAATGGTTATTTACAATATGAATTAATACTACTTACATAAAACAAAACAAAATAGGGTTTGTAATAAAAAAAAAAAACCACAATCCCTAAATGTGGCAGAAACATCAGTTAACTGGACGAAATAATTGCGGGATTATAACATTATAAAAAACCCAAGCAGGCCCACAAACACGCACTTAGAATAACTAATTCCTGAAATTTACGCGTTTTATAAAATTTTTTTAAAATTAAAAATACTATGGTAACGGCTAGAGCAATTGTTTAAAGAAAAGGGGCGTAAGGGTTAATAATTTGTATCAATATCTCAGTTACATTCAAAGAGGTCAAGTCAGGGTAAGGTTGGGGTGTCTAAATTTAAAGCGGAAGATGACATCGTCTAGTCTGGGTAAGTGTCTATGGAGATTTATTTTTATATTTTATTTCTTATTTTTTTCTGAAAGGGTTTTGTGTATATAAAAAAAAAATGTCATGCATCGCTAACATTTGTTTTTTTGACGACTTCATAAAGGGTTATCGTTTTTTCTTTTTTTGTAGGGCATTTAAAGTATTTATTTAGACTATGGAATTTAAAAATTATTTTATTGTTTGTTTGTTTTTATGCTAATTATTCAATGCGAAAATTTGATGATGTCGGAGAAAAAACGTTAACTCGTGTCTATTGTTTAATAAATTTTTATTATTTAGAAACTTAATAATATGTAGTTTTTCATATAGGCATAAAGGGCATGGGTCATCCCAAGTTTTACAAGTTCTAGTTTTGTTTATAATTTTCCATTTTACTTTTGGTGTTTTATTCATTTCCTTCAAATGCCAAAAATATTTAGATAGAGATGTCTGATTTCTTTTATTCATATTGTTGAAAGAGCACTTATGCTGCCTCCATCTGGTTTTAAATTCATTCTTCGTAGACCCAATGTATATCATATTAGTATTAGGACTCTCAATGGATGAGATAGTACATTGGTATACCACAGATTTTACGCGGCATTTTTTTTCCAATAGGCAGTCTTCTGGGTTTCTACAATCACATAATTTTTCACTATTTTTGTCTAATTTAAGTGTAGGCTTTTTATTAATACTATTCGCGCATCGGGTTTATTCAGGATTTTATTATTGTGTTTTTTTTATTATACTTTCTAGATTTTCAGTGCATTTGTAACTTAATTTTAGGGTGTTTTTATTAAATATTTTACTAAATCTACTATTGGTAGGTAAGTGTTTTTCAATTAAAGCTAGGAATTTCTGTCCTAGCTTAATACTAACCATTTGGTTGAACGGAGGGGTATACCAAATGATTTTTCTTTTCCTGTTTTTCTTCTGGTTAGTACAATTGTATCTATAATTGATGTTAGCATTTTTGTATCCACTATTTTTTAGGGCTGCGTTATAAAAAATTACTGTGTTGTTGGAATATTTCTTTATTAGCGGAGTTAATGCTGATTCTATTCTCTATTGATGAGGCTATATGCTTAATTATGGATGCAGGGTGGTTTGACAGGGTGTATATATAAGGGGTTAGTATTAGGTTTTCTATAAGGTAGGCATGTTCTGTTTGTTAAATCTAGAGTTACGTGGAGGAAGTTTACCCTTTTTAATTTAGTACAGACTGTTGTTTTTAAATTTAGATTTCTAAATTCACTATATATAATCTTTCTAATTTTCTAAAGATCCCATAGTAATGTCAAAATGGTCATTATTGTTTTTAATCCATTGGTCCCCATTATGAATGAGAACAGATTTTTTTTGCACTGAGAATTATATCTATTTCCTCCTTTGTCAGGTCAGAATACACAGCAGCAAACTCCAGGGCAATCATGAACAGATCCTTCGATATTGACGGGTAGTAATCCACGATATCGAACTGTAATAGAGTGCAATCAGGTTTATTATCAATATTGCTAAACCAGTTGATGATATCTTTGGTATTAATCCATAATTTTAATCCAAGGTGGTTTTTAATTTGCCAAGTAACTCCAAGAATATTAAAATATAATAGGAAACTTTAACGAATACTGTCCAGAACTATTTGACGACTTTCATAAATTTGTTATTTTTGTCTTAGATTATCGGCAGCATCACTTCTATGACGGGATGTGTTGGGAGGGCCACCGTGTTTGGAGGGTCACCGTGTTGGGTGGGCCCCCGTGTTGGGTGGGTCACCGTGTTGAGTGGGTTACCGTGTTGGGTGGGCCCCCGTGTTGGGTGGGTCACCGGGTTGAGTGGGTTACCGTGTTGGGTGGGCCCCCGTGTTGGTGGGTCACCGGGTTGAGGGTCACCGTGTTGGGTGGGCCCCGTGCCCAGTGGTCACCGGGTTGAGTGGGTCACCGTGTTGGGTGGCCCCGTGTTGGTGGGTCACCGGGTTGAGTGGGTCACCGTGTTGGGTGGGCCCCGTGTTGGGTGGGTCACTGGGTTGAAGTGGGTCACCGTGTTGGGTGGAGCCCCCCGTGTTGGGTGGGTCACCGTGTTGGGTGGGCCCCGTGTTGGGTGGGCCCCCGTGTTGGGTTCATTCCACCGGGTTGGAGTGGGTTACCGTGTTGGGTGGGCCCCGTGTTGGGTGGGTCACCGGGACAACTGGGTCACCGTGGGGTGGGCCCCGTGTTGGGGTGGGTCACCGTGTTTGGAGGGTCACCGTGTTGGTTGGGCCCCCGTGTTGGGTGGGTCACCGGGTTGAGTGGGTCACCGTGTTGGGTGGGCCCCCGTGTTGGGTGGGTCACCGTGTTTGGAAGGTCACCGTGTTGGGTGGGCCCCCGGGTTGGGTGGGTCACCGGGTTGAGTGGGTTACCGTGTAGCTGAACACCGGACGAGCTGTCCTCTCCATATCGAGAAAATTCTTTGAAAACAATTCTTCAAAAACCATTTATTCGAATTGTAAACTGTTTGAATGAAGAATTAATCAAAAGGACAATTATACTAAATGATAAATATTGGAAAGATCTTTGTTTAAAATATGCATGTGGTCTTGCTTTGAGAGAGTTAATACTGATTTACCTTGAACTGATAAAACCCTTGAATGATGATGTGTTGCTCTTTTGAAGCAGTATGGAAATTCTTAGACGCTCTTAAAAAAAAATAGGACTTGCAAGAAAGAGCAGGTTGCGAAAATATCAAAAGCGCCAACAAACACCTTGACGTAAAAGAATAACTTAAAATATAGTAGCCAACTTTAACAAATCCTCTTCAGTAGTTGACTATTTGCGTGCAGTATTATACAGCTTAAGGTTATAAGAATTTTCTTTTACTAAATTGTTTTATTTAACGATATTTGTATTACGAATAACTATCATTTGTGCATTTCCTCTTTTAATTTTTCTTTTTTATTTAAATAAAGAATTTTTGCATTTCGAATATTTATCATTTAGTATAATAATTGTCCTTTTGATTAATTTTTATACAGTTTTACAATTCGAATAAATGGTTTTAGAATAATTGTTTTCGAACAATTTTCTCGATATGGAGAAAGGAGCTCGTCCGGTGTTCAGCTACACGGTGACCCTCCCAACACGGGGGCCCTCCCAACACAGGGGCTGACCCAACACGGGGGCCCCCCCAACACGGGGGTCTTCCAAACACGGTGGCCTCGCAACATGGGGGCCCACCCAACACGGGTACCCTCCCAACACAGGGGCTGACCCAATATGGGGGCCCACCCAACACGGGGGCCCTCCAAACACGGCGGCCCTCAACAACACAGGGGCCGACCCAACATGGGGGGCCGACCCAACACGGGGGCCCTCCCAACACAGGGGCCGACCCAACACGGGGGCCCTCCCAACACAGGGGCCGACCCAACACGGTGGCTCTCCAAACACGGTGGCCCTCCCAACACATCCCGTCATAGAAGTGATGCTGCCGATGATCTAAGACAAAAATAACAAATTTATGAATGTCGTCAAATAGTCAACTACTGGACAGTACTCGTTAAAGTTTCCGACTATATTTTAAGTTATTCAATTACGTCGCGGTATTTCTTGGCGCTCATTATAATTTGGTAACCTGCTCTTGCTTTTACAATATGAATTTCTTGCAAGTCCTGTTCTATTTTAGAGCTTCTAAGAATGCCTGTGTTCTGGGATGATGGGATGACACTTGCTGCAAAAACCCCGATGCTATCCTTCAAGGGAGTTATTAGTTCTAGGTAAATCTGCATTGACTCTCTAAAGCAAGACCACATGTGTATTTAAAACATATGTATTTCGAATAAATATCATTTAGTATAATTGATCTTTTGATTAATTTTTCATTCAAACAATTTACAATTCGAATAAATTTTTTTGAATAATTGTTTTCGAACAATTATTTTCATAAAACGTTCACATAATCGTAATACTAGGTGCTGTACCCTTGGATATACGGGTGGTGTGATGGATAAAGACTCCGAATTGGCAATCGTAGAGACGAGTTCCATTTCTAGCTGGGTTCGTTATATTCACTTAGGCGCAAATGTCATTGGGATAAGGAATGAATATACCTCTTCTCCTCCAATCTATGGGTTAATTAGTAGGATATCTATCAGTAAATCATTATTACCAACAAAAAATCCTTAAAATCTACAAATATTTTCGGGCTTTAAATAATCCGTGTAAGTTTGATAAGTCGTAAAAACAAATCACATAATCTCGCTGAAAGCACAACCAAATTAAACATTTTCCAAATATAAAAATTGATTCAATGTTTGGAATTAGTCATTGGGATTTCGATCTACAACATGGACAACCTCATTGTCAGGGTCTTCCTCCTATTTGACATTTGCCAAATATAGACATTGTTTCGATGTTTGAAATTGGTCATTGGAACATTTGAACTTCAACATAAACAATCTCATTGCCATTCTCTGCATCCTCTTTGACATTTACCATATAAAATACTTGATTCGATGTTTTGAATTTGTCATTCGAACTTTTGAACTTCGACATGGACAACCACACTGCTATTCCCTTCCTTCTCCTTGGCATTTGCCAAATATAACTGTTTCGCTGTTTGGAATTGGTCATTGGGGCTTTTGAACTTCATCATGGACAACATCGAATCAAGGATTATATTTAGCAAATGTCAACGAGGAGGAAGAAAATGGCAATATGGTTGTCCTTGTCATAGTTCAAATGTCCCAATGACCAATTCCAAACATCGAATCAAGGATTATATTTGGCAAATATCAAAGAGGAGGAAGAAAATTGCAATATGTTTGTCCATGTCATAGTTCAAATGTCACAATGACCAACTCCAAACATCGAATCATGCATTATATTTGGCAAATATCAAAGACGAGGAAGAAAATGGCCATGAGGTTGTCCGTGTCATAGTTCAAATGTCACAATGACCAACTCCAAACATCGAATCATGCATTATATTTGACAAATATCAAAGACGAGGAAGAAAATGGCCATGAGGTTGTCCGTGTCATAGTTCAAATGTCACAATGACCAACTCCAAACATCGAATCAAGGATTATATTTGGCAAATATCAAAGAGGAGGAAGAAAATGGCAATGAGGTTATCCTTATTGAAGTTCAAATGTCCCAATGACCGATTCCAAACATCGAATCAAGGATTATATTTGGCAATTGTCAAAAAGGAGGGAGAGAATATCCTTTTTGACATTTTCCGGTGAGGTTTAAATATTCAACAATACTCTGATTACTTAAGTCTCCATATCCAGGGTGGATTGAATTGAAGCAGTCAATTATTTCTGCTTCATTAACAGGGATGTTTCATGCTGAAAATTGCTCAATTAAATGATATCTTTCTAAATTCTTAGAATACTCGTCGGATATACTATATCAGAATTGGTTTCGTTCGTATAATTGAAAAATATTTAAATTATTTCAATTGTTCTTTTCTTTTCATGTCCAGATAATAATGGGTGAAATGTGGTCTGGGGTAAATCAAAACATCGCAGAAACTGGTAAGAATCAATTTCAGTCTTTCTAGACGGCTTGGTACCGAATCTTTTATTACCAATTTATTTGCTTGTGTCTAGCTAGAAACTCAGTATTAAAAATTCGGTAATTTGGAACATCAATCCAATCTCTGACACCAATGAGAGATAAATAACTGTATCAGTCAAGAGGTAGGCCCATGACAATTAGTCATTTGATTTTAGCTAAATGCAGCCTTGGGTGAAAAAAGGGTCGGTGGAAGAGAGAGGGATCAGTTACACCAAATTGAAAATATTCGACAAAATTATTTGGTTAATCATTGGTATCAGGTGAGCGCTAATCAGTAGATTCATAGCTAAATACGAAGAAACTGGGATAGATAGATAGATAGATAGATAGATAGATAGAAACAGATTGAGAGAGATATGAACAGATTGATAAATACAAATACATTCTGATAGATACAAAGATAGAGAAGTATGAACAATGATAATATATATATATATATATATATATATATATATATATATATTCATTAATGCATGTTTTCATTAAATAATATAGACATGTTTTGTTTATTTATTTTAAGTAAGTACCTTTCATATTGTCTGATAAGCTTAATAACATTATCATTGAAAGACGAAAGGAAATCACCATATTGATACATGTTTAAATTCAATCTAAGCTTTCGGCTTACATCAGCCATTATCAAAGATGACAATTACTTTTTAATATATCAACCAATACACGGACGAAACAATAATGATAGTCTGTTTTTGTTGCATGAAAAATTTCAAAGCACGACTAACTCGTGTATACGAGACGCGGAATTTAATATAAACCAATGGCTTCTGCTATCAATTATAGGCATTTAAGAATATTTGTGGAGATTTCGTAGTTTATTTTGTTCAGGTTAGGTTTCAACTGTTTAATTATATAACTTCAAGAATTTACAGTTTTTGTTTATTGTTTTCATGTTTAAGTATAGCTGTGTGTTCAACAAGGATTTTCCGAAATTGTGTAGGCGGCCAGGAATGATGTTTTAAATGCCTATTCGAAACTCCCGTCGAATTCGACCTATGAGGGTCAAGCAGATCAGTTCCTAGGCAACCGACAGCTCAGACACCAGCACATGAGATTTTGATTATAGGGGTGAAGGTTTCATGCAGGACCATCCACACTTTTTGAAGGGCCGAATACAGAGACCTGGTGCACTACATGCCAAAGGGTCCCCAAACGACCCTCCGCAGGTTTTGAATTTAGAGTTGTCCTTCTCCTAGACCAGTTGCCATCCAAGGCTATAGAACCCAGTCCTGCTATTTAACCCATAGCTGGAGGGAGAAGAAGAGGATTCACACCTTTCCCAAGGGTATTAGCACGTAAGTGAATGTAACGGATTTGACTGGAATTCGAACTCGGCTCTCCCATTCCTGAATCCACCGTGCCTGAAATTTGTCAAACGGTTAACTGAAAATAGATTTGATTACGCGCTGCGCTACTCAAAACTTCATTAGATACAGATTTCTTGAAACCTTTGTCGGGCTTCTGTATTCTATTTTAAGCACACACACACATACACACACAAACAAACACACACACACACATACATATATATATATATATATATATATATATATATATATATATATATATATATGTGTGTGTACCTAAACACAAACACACATACATATATATATATATATATATATATATATATACATAGATACATATATATTTACATATATATATATATATATATATATATATATATATTTACACACACACACATATATATTTATATATATATATATATATATATGAATGGTTATACACGTTTTGAAAAGCCATACATATATATATATATATATATATATATATATATACATACACACACATATATATATACATACATATATATATATATATACATACACACACACACACACACACACACACACACACACACATATATATATATATATATATATATATATGTGTAAAGATAGAGAAAAAAGACAGCAAGGAATCAGTCTGAAGGCACTGACACTGTATCTCAAGTCAACTGCGATTATTAAACTAATAGGATCATAATCGTCTGATGATCGCATTTGGCACCAGGAACGATTACAAGACAATGTCTCAAAGACAAGATTTCTTGTTTTTGATTATTATTCTTACAGTTCTTTCTTGGTCTGATTTCTATTTCAGTTTTTCTTATACAAATAATCATTGAACAATGTTGCTTTTTTTACCATAGGTATCACTTTCGATTTTGGCAGCATTTGTATCGGTAAAATTTATTTAAATTTTCCTTTGAACTATATATACATTATATTATAGTTTTATGATATATAATATAGTATATTAATATAATATAAATAATATTAGTAGATATAATATCGGGTTCGGCATCCGCCCGTCTCGAGAGACGATGGAGTAGCGCGGTGCGCTACGAGCCTGGGCGGGATGTATGGAGAACTAGGGCTGCCCGGACGTCTAGTTCCACCTCTCGGCCTTGCTAGCAGAGTCCAAAGGAGAGGATAAACGAATACAGTTTGGTACCAGCGCCGCTGCAGGAGTTGCCGGAAGGTAGCACATAGTGCCGTCTATCCGCCTTAGGGGATCCACTCCGGATTTGTATAGGGTTTACTCCTTGGCCTTTCCTTCTCCACAAGATCTTCACAAGGCAGTGGAGCTATTTAACCCATAGATGAGGTTTGCTTCATGGGGAACCAGGGCATGTCCACACACCGGTGGGCCAGCATGCCGAATGTTAATGGGGCCAATTAATTCCCCGTCCCCTGTGGCTTAGCCAGAGTCCGCAAGGTGTTCGGTTACCATGTGTCGCCACGAGGAGGCACTACATAGGGATTGCTGATGGAGTTGCTATACACTGACAGGTGTAGACTTATGCACTCGGCTCCCCTATTCGCATTTCTGCTAGCCAACGGCGGTAACTGAAAGCGAGAAGCGACAAGCACTACCACTACAGACTACCACACTAGACGCATCACAACAACAGTTGTGGCCCACATATATAATATCTATATAATATATATATATATAGCGACATTGAAGAGCAAAAAAGAGGGGGAAACACACTAAAATAACGAACAAGTATATATACTTGTAACGAGGGAAGGGTTATCGTGTAAATAAATAGCGAGGGACAGTTAAAATAAAATATCCCCCAACAGATTCAGAGACCTTATAAATTCTTTCTGCCAGCAGAGAGAAGGTTTTCTAAATCCTATACAGACCGATTCCAAAATCTTCAAATGATTATTGGAATCGGCTGTATGAATAATTCTAAACCACTCTTTTTTTATACAACTTGGCACAAGCTATATTCTCAACTAAATGTTGAGCAATAGCCGATTCCATATTCATGGGGGAAGATAGCATATTCTATCTATCTTACCAAGTCGTATTTTGGAAGGAACGTGCTGATTAATTCTAGTTTCCAAATTCAAGGTTGTACGCCCCACATAACCAGCAGCACACTGGCAATTAAATTCATATACTAAATTACTCAATTTGATGTAGGGCAATACATCCTTGCGAAAAAGACGGAAACGCAGACCTAGTTTGAAAAATGCTACGTAAAGCAACTGATGGGAAACAACCGGAAACCAACTTGCTAACCTGCTTAATTAAGCCCTGACCACTATCCCCAATCCAGGAATCTTTAAATAAACCGGACATTTAGAAGGCCCCTGGATTTTAGGGGGAATGAAATTCTTAGTTTTCTTACTCATAATGTAGTCAATAAGGGCCTCCGGATAGCCGTTACTAAGGAAAATCTCCCTAATGTTCCCAAATTCACGGTCCAATCTAATAGGGGAACACACTTTAAGCGCTCTATACACCAAGGTTTTAACGAGATTAATTTTCCTTGATGCAGGAGCAAATGAACGCCAATTCAAATAAAAGTCCAGTAAAGGTGGGTTTACGATAAATGCTAGTAATAAAACCACCTCTACTGCGTTCAAAAAAACATCCAAAAAAAGGCAGACAGTTGTCTTTCTCCCCTTCCATAGTGAAAGACAAACCATTGTGTAAGGAGTTGAGCTCATTAAAGAACTCAACAGCCTCACTTTTATTAGAGAATGTTGCAAAGGTGTCATCGACATATCTAACGTAAACAAATGGTTTAGACACTTTGCCGAAAAGTAACATTTCATGGTAGCCCACAAAAAAATATCAGTCAATGCAGGGCCAAGGGGACTGCCCATCTGGACCCCATCCACTTGACTATACATAATATTGTCAAAACTGAACTCCACCGAACTAGTACATAGTATCATGGGTTCTATAAATATATCCTTAGGAAAAGGAGGTGGAGCAATGTTACCTTCGTATAAAAAGTCTGCACAGATATCAATAGTTTCAATGGTACGTTAGTAAATAGACTGGACACATCAAAGGAACACATAAAATCAGTCTCAGGGCAAGACTGTATGGCCTGTAGGCGTTCAACAAACGTGAACGAATCAGGTATACAATGCTTAGCAAAAATGTTTGGACCGGTTGTATGACCTGCAGAAGCCATTGAGCCAGAGAATGTTGGGATGAACCAATCATTGAAAGTATTGGTCTCAATGGAACGTCCTTCTTATGAACTTTGGAAGACCATAAAGCCTTGGTCTAAGGGAACCAGAAGGTCTAATCCTGTCATAAGTCTCTTTAGAAAAGTAACCTTTTCTAAACAAGTATAATAGACGTTTCTGAATTTTAATTTAATTTCTGTACGTGTTGTCACAAGTTTCAACTGGACCAACTTTTTTTTAACTTTTCTGAATCATTCAAAATAGTCAACATCTTTTGGATGTAATCTACCCGGTCCAGTAGAACAACACCAGCACCCTTGTCCGGTTTACAAACATAAATATCATTATTAGATTTCAATGATTTAACAACCTTAAATTGAGTTTTTGACCAGACAAAATCAAAAGAGTCAATAGAAGAATTACAATAACGATAAGTCAAGTCTTTCAACCTTGATTTCAATGTAATAACGTGATCCGATGAACAAGGAACATGGTGTTTAAGTTGGGAGAACAACACCTCAAATGCTGCCAGTGTCTCCTCTTTATCAATCTTAATCGGAGGAATACAAAATTGCAAGCCCCTCGACAAGACTGCACTTTCACTCTTTGAAAGGTGAAAACTAGAGTAATTGAAAATATGCTTACCTTCAGTACCAGAGTCACAACCATATCTGGAGCGAATAAGCAATGTAAGCTGTTTTTCAAATTTCGTGTTAACACGTTGTTTGGCAAATGCATCACCATTAGCCAAATATTTACAGAAACGAAAAAAGTCAAAGAAGGACAAAAACTTTTAACTTTAAATAGACAACCATGTCTAAAGTTAATATAAAACTCAAGTTGCTTCAGCGACTTATTAATCTCATCTTGAATAAACGCCCGCTCAATTGTCAAACTAGGTCT